GGAGGGGGGGCCGACCCCATCTATTCCGACCCCATCTACTGGTCTACTCTGACCCTATCTACCTGCACGAACGAAATGGGTACGCAAAGAATGGGTACAATGCCCAACAGCAGTCCCTGTTCATTTCGAACAGGACTCGCTGTCCGCGCCGCCGCGGCCTGTGTCCGTTCGAGACAGAAGGCCGCCTGCGCAACAGCGGCCGCTGTTGGTTTGGGACAACATTTGTTGTTAGGCATTGTGCCCATTCTTTCCGTGCCCATTTCGGCGTCCCAAATCTACTGGAGGCCTCTATTGGCTCTCGACCAGCGAAGGGGGGGCCGAGAGGCTCCCCCGGCTGGCCCGCTGGCCCTCCACGCCCCTCGCCGCCGCAGGGTGCCCGCCCGCTCTCCGGGGCAGACCTGCGCGCCGCAGGGTCGGTCGCCTGTCCTGGTGCCGACATCGCAGCCTCCTCCCTCCGCCTCCTCCCTCCTCCTCCTCCCCTCCTCTACCTCCTCCTCCTCCCCCTCCACCTCCTCCTTCTCCTTCTCCTCCTCCTCCTCCTCTTCCTCCTCCTGCTCCTCCTCCTCCTCCTCCTCCTCCTCCTCCTCCTCCTCCTCCTCCTCCTCCTCCTCCTCCTCCTCCTCCTCCCCCTCCTCCCTCCTGTCCTGGCGCCAGCATCGCAGAGCGGATTTCGTTCGGCCAATGACAGGGTGGGCCCAGAGTGTCCTGGAGAATCTCGCTCCAGACTTCGGGGTGAATTTTGTGCGGATTTTTTTTTTGTGGCCAGGGATGGAGGCTAAGAGAAAGTTACGCGAACCTCACTTCGTTTTTCACTCGCCGTTTCGGGGTTTTGGCACTGACAGAAATCCATGCAGAAATCCGCTGCAGCACGTCTGCAAGGTCGGAGCAATGACATTTGATCGGCGTGTCCGTGCGGATGCTGTCGGACCTCGCCATGCCGCCCGCGAAAAACTTGCGCGCCGTGTCTAGGGCCGCGAGGCGGGCCTCGATCCCAGGCTCCCGCGCCAGAGCACGGTCCAGGATGTCCAGGGCGGCCTTCGCGCGACCCCAGGACGGCGCACAGCGGGTGGACCCCAAGGGGCTGGTTGTAGAGAGTGGTGGGGGCCTGTCCAGAGCGGGGCGCCGTGAAGGGCTTCCTCCTCCTCCTCCTCCTCCTCCTCCTCCTCCTCCTCCTCCTCCTCCTCCTCCTCCTCCCTCCTCCCTCCTCCTCCTCCTCCTCCTCCTCCTCCTCCTCCTCCTCCTCCTCCTCCTCCTCCTCTGGGGGCTCAGCGGGCGCTCGTCGAGGACTCGGGCCCCCGAGAGGTCTTGCTCGAAGCGCGGCGAGGCCGGGATTTGTCGACGGTGGGCGACGACTTCGTCAGCTTACAGGTCGGGGTAGCAGGGGCCAAGAGCTCGAGGCCCGCTCTAGGCGGAGATGTGGACCCGATCAACTGATTCACCGAGTCGCTGAAATCCCTTGCAATGACGAGTGGCTGCATGGCATGGCGGCATCCTGAATCATGTCAACCCGGGGTGAGAGCTCTAGGTTGTATTTGTCGAGGCCGACCCCGTCGGCCAGGCAAATCGAAGCTAATGCTAGGGGGCGAGGGGCGATGTCCTGGAAGTTCTAGCTGGTTTGCGGTGCCACGTGATTCCGCAACCCCTGCAGGCATCGGAAGACGAGAAACTCCAAAGTGGTGCCAATCTCGACTCAGAATCCCCGCACTTCGTACAGGGGAGCCTTCATCGCTGAGCACTGCTGGATTCAGTATGGCTAGCCAGACCTCTCGCTCACGCCTCCGGGCGACGTTGGGAATGGCCTCATCTAAAACGCGAGCCTCCTGGCACCAGATGATGTCCACCGCGTCTGCTGCCCTCGATTTCAGGCATCTCCCGGTGGACTTCCAGCGGCTTCCGCTGTTCGTTGCGAAGCGGGCCGTGTTGCCCACGCGGCGCCGCTTCTCCGTCCCGCCCTTGCCCTGCTAGCCCAGGCGCAGGGACTTGGCGCTCTCCTGGAGCGCCTCCGCTGCCGCGGGCTGCTGCGGCGAGGCCGTCCGCGCTCGTGCTGCTGAGGTTTTGAGCGCCAGGTCGACTGCCCCTCCGGCTCGCTCCTTGCCCTGGGCGCGCTTCTGCCCGTTGGTTCTGAACGCCCGAAATGGGTACGGAAAGAATGGGTACGATGCGCAACAGCAGTTCTTGTTCATTATGAGCAGGACTCGCTGTCCGCGGCGCCGCGGCCTGTGTCCATTCGAGACAGGGGGCCGCCCGCCCCACAGCGGCCGCTGTTGGTTTGGGACAACATTTGTTGTTGGGCATTGTACCCATTCTTTCCGTACCCATTTCGGGCGTCCAAATTGGTCCCCTCCTCCGTGGGGGCTGCGCCGGCCGCGGGCTCCGCGGGGAGCTCGGTGCCACTGCCGCCAGGGTGGGCGCAGCCGCCGCGGCCTCTCGGTCCGGGCGGGCGGCGCCAGGGCTGCGCCCGAGGCTGCCGTCGGCACCGCCCCGTGGTCCACCGCCTTCTCCGGGGTGTCAATGGGCCTTCTGCCGCTCGTCATGTAGCTGGGTGGGCAGCTGCGTGAGGGCCTCCTGGGCACTGGGCGGCGGGGGCAAGCCTGGTGGGGGCTGGCTCTGGACGTAGGGCTCCAGCGAGGGGGTGGCGGACGTGGCATGCTCTCTTGAGAGCTTGCTCTGCCGCCATCTGGTGCTGGACGTCCACCGCTTGGTCTCCGACACGAGGTCCGAGGCAAGTTTCTGCTGCTTTCCATACTCGTTGGCCAACTTATCTCTGCGGCCGTTCCCTCGCAATCCGCCTGGGCGTCGGCCAGCTTCTTTTTGCAAGCCTCGAGCTGGTCGTGCAATGGTTTGCGCTGCTGGTCCCAAGGCTTGGCTGCGAATGCGGATGCTTTGACTGCTTCAATTCTCCCACGGCCTGGAGGTAGGTTAGTGCGGCCCTGACGTGCGCTCCATCTTCTTTCAGGAGGGAAAGAAACACACAGACAGAATTAATCGTCGACTCCCAGGAAAATATGGGAGAATATGGGAAGTGGATGGGAAGACAGAAACCCAGAAAATATGAGAAAATATGGAGAATCCTTTTAGTTGTGTGCATTTATTTGTGTGTCCTGGGGCCCCTTCATTCTTCCAGAGCTGGACCGCCGCCGTGTACGCAGCAAGTGGGTCTCGCTCTGTCTCGTCAGGTGCCTGTCCTCCCCCAGCTCCCGTGTGGCCTTTCGCCGCTGGGCTGCCCGAGCGCCCGCGCCACCTGTTCGGGGGTGTCGTTCGCTCCACCTCGCACTGGCGGCTTGACCGTCGTGGCGTCGGCTGGGTCCGGCCGACGACTTGGCTGCATGCGCCGCAGAACTCGAACGGCTTGTCATCGGCGTCACCCCAACATACTAAGACTATGTGTGCATCGCCCCCCCAGCGGCGACGCGCGCACCGAGACATCTTATAGCATACGCGTCGTGGCGGGCGCTTTCTGGCCACACCGCCCGGGAAACGATATGCTACAAGATGGGTATCCTGTGTGCTCGGGTCGGACGCGCACTTCCAAGGAGGACAGACAGTATTAGCATGTCTCTGTGCGTCCCATGCCAGCCCACTTCCATCCCTTGCACTTGGCGCTCTGGCAGCAGAGGTAGCTGCGCTGCGGGGCCTGACCTCGGCTGCGCCTCTGGGTTCTGCTGCCTCCCAATTGCCGAAGTGCGCGGCGGGCCGGCGCCCGGCGGGGGCGAGAGGGGCGGGGCTCGTCGAGGCCCTGCGGGCACCCCTGGAAGTGCGCTCCGCCGAGGGGTGGGGGTGGCTGCCACCGCGACCTCTCTCGAACCAGAGTGGCATGAACCAGGAGGAGGAGGAGGAGGAGGAGGAGGAGGAGGAGGAGGAGGAGGAGGAGGAGGAGGGATGAGGAGGAGAGGAGGAGGAGGAGGAGGAGGAGGAGGAGGAGGAGGAGGAGGAGGAGGAGGAGGAGGAGGAGGAGGCGGAGGAGGAGGAGGAGGAGGGAGGAGGAGGAGGAGGAGGAGGAGGAGGAGGAGGAGGAGAGGAGGAGGAGGAGGAGGAGGAGGAGGAGGAGGAGGAGGAGGAGGAGGAGGAGGAGGAGGAGGAGGAGGAGGAGGAGGAGGAGGGGGGATGATGATGAGGAGGAGGGAGGAGGAGGAGGATGATGAGGAGGAGGAGGAGGAGGAAGAGGAGGTTGAGAAAGCGGACGAGGAGGAGAAAGAGGAATTATAGTTATCAGTAACACGATTTAAGCATTCCGATCGAAATACTACTAATGCTGATGCTACTACGAACACGAATGCGGATCATATTAGAACAACTAACAGTTTTATCCACCACTATCCGAGTTTTCGTATTGTCAGTAATAGTAATAATGGTACCAATACTCATACTCGTACTCGCACTCACAATCGTACTACGACTATTAATAGAACTACAAAGAACCGCACTAGCATTAGTACTGGGAAGAAACACGAGAAAACGAAGAGTGATGATGAGGATGGGGATGAGGATGAGGAGGAAGAGAGGAAGAGGACGAGAAGGAGCAGGAGGAGGAGGAGCAGGAGCAGGAGCAGGATCAGGGAACAGAGGAATATGAGGAGGAAAAGGAGGACGGGAACGAGAATAAGAAGGAGGAGTTGGATGATGATGGTGTTGATGGTGATGGTGATGATGCTGATGATGATGCTGGTGATGACGATGATGGCGATGGCGATGACGATGTTGATGATGATGATGATGATGATGATGATGATGATGATGATGATGATGATGATGATGATGATGATGATGATGATGATGGTGATGTTGATTATAATGTTTATGTTGATGATGATGCTGTTGTTGATGATGATGCTGATAATGATGATGAGGAGGAGGAGGAAGAGGAAGAGCTGGAGAAAAAGGAGGAGGGGGAGGATCAAAAGGAGGGTGGGTAGAGGGAGGATCGCCAGCGGTGGTGCCGCACGGCGAGGGGGCGCATGGGCCTGCCCCCCCCCCCGTCTTCAACGCCCGCCCGTGGCGAGGGCGGTGGCGCCCCTGCTGAAGCCTGGCGGCCGCGTCTTCGTCACGCAGACCTTCCAGAAGAGGCACGTGCCGCTGCTGGCGTATATCAAACCGGCGCTGTACTATCCGGGTGCGCTGCCGCGCGCGGGCCCGCCGCCACGCCGCTGGGGCGGAAGGGCGGGAGGGCAGCTCGGGACCCAGATCTCTGGCAATCTGTTTTGTCCCCATCATCCTGTGGTCTTGGGTCATCGTTTTGGAGAGAACGCCCCGCGTTCCTCACTCCTTCCGCCTCCTCCTCCTCCTCCCCCCTCCTCCCAACCCCGCCTCTGCCCTCCACACGTCCGCATCGTCATCATAGTCATCATCGTCGTCATCATCACCATCACAATCGGCATCCCGCTCCTGCGTCAACCCTCCCATGTCTATGTCGGTACACCCTTCACACATTTCGGCATGTCCATGTCGGGCATTTTTTCAGTCTGGGCAATTTTCCTTGACGTGAGCCTATAGGCAATTGGGAGGCCGAGCGGAGTATATTGTCTTCGCCTCGTGTTTTGGTGCATGGGACGTTCGTATACATATATCTCTCACTATATTTATAGATCCAGGCATTTATGTATATGTATATGTATATATATATATATGCATGCATGCGAGTATGTATGCATGCATATATGTATGTATGTATACATACATGTATGTATGTTTATACGCCTTTATGTATGTGTGTTTGTATGCATGTATGCATGCATTTCTACATCTGTACATGTGCATGGATATATATATATATGCATGTATGTATGCATGTACATATATACGTATGTATGTACGCATGCATGTATGTATGTACGTATGTATGCAGGCATGTATGTATGTATGTGTATGTGTATGTATGTATGTATGCATGTATGTACGTACGCATGTATGTATGCATGTATGTACGTATGGATGTATGCGTACAAGCATGTATGCATGTATGTATGTATGCATCTACGTATGCAGGCATGTATGCATGCATGCATGCATGCATGTATGTATGCATGCATGTATGTATGCATGCATGCATGTATGTATGCATGTATGTATGTACGCATGCATGTATGTATGCATGTATGTAGGTATGTTTGATATCTGTATGTACGTACGTATGCATGCATGTATGCATGTATGTATGAATGCATGCATGTATGTATGCATGTATGCATGTACGTATGTACGTATGTACGTATGTATGTATGTATGTATGTATGTATGTATGTATGTATGTATATATGTATGTATGTATGTATGTATGTATGTATGCATGCATGCATGCATGCATACATGCATGCATATATATATATATGTATATGTGCATGCCTGTGTATAGATATATGTGTTAACCGTCGCCTTGCGGTGAAAAAGGGGGCGGGTATGTCTCGGGTCATTTTCAGTCTGGGTGCTTTTTCCTCAATTTCAGCCTGTGGGTCTCGTGGTCGGGCCCCGGGGCTGAGGAACACGTATCCGGGGTGAAAACATTGGCTCGGGGGAAGGGGTCGGGACCTTTGTGGCCGCGGGCTGGAACAAGTTACCCTGGCGAAGGACACAACCATCTGCAGGTGAGAGTCCTCCTCCTCCTCCTCCTCCTCCTCCTCCTCCTCCTCCTCCTCCTCCTCCTCCTACCGCACGGCAGGTGTGGCGAATGAGGGGCAGCTCCCTAGGAGGCTACGAAGCGTGTGAAGGGCGTGCCAAAATGGGTGCGGTGGCGCCATGCGAGCCCTGCTAGTGCGGCCCACGGTGGAGATCCGTCAAGGGCCACGACACGCGTGAGGGGTGTGCCGCAATGGGTGCGGTGGCGCCATGCGAACCCTCCCACTGGGGCCTTCGGTGGAGCTCCCTATGGGGCCCCGAAGGGTGTGATGGGTGTGTCGGAGTAGGTGTGGTGGCGCCATGCGAACCCTCCCACTGCGGGCTTCGGTGGAGGTTTCTATGTGGCGCCGAAACGCCTGAGGGGTATGCCGGAATGGGTGCGGTGGCGCCATGCGAACCCTCCCGCTGGGGACTTCGGGGGAGCTCCGTATGGGGCCCCGAAGCGTGCGATGGGTGTGCCTGAATGAATGTGGTGGCGCCATGCGAACCCTCCGACTGGGCCCTTCGGTGGAGTGCCGTATGAGACCACGAAACGTGTGAGGGGTGTGCTGGAATAGGTGCGGTGGCACCATGCGAACCCTTCCACTGGGGCCTTCGGCGAGCTCCTTATGGGTGCACGGCGCGCGTTATGTGTGTGCCGCAATATGTGCAGTGTTGCCATGCGAATCCTCCCATTGGGGCCTTTGGTGGGGCTCCCTGTGGGGCCCCGAAGCGTGTGATGGGTGTGCCGAAATGGGCGCGGCGGCGCCATGCGAACCCTTCCACTGGGGCCTTCGGTGGAGCTCCTTATAGGGCCACGAAGCGTGTGAGAGGTGTACCCAAATGGGCGCGGTGGCACGATGCGAACCCTTGCATTGTGACCTTCGATGGAGGTCTCCGTGGGGCATCGAAACGTGTGAAGGGTATGCTGGAGTGGGTGCGGTGGCGCCATGCGAACCGTTCGATTGGTGCCTTTGGCTCCGTATGGGGCCACGACGCGCGTGAGGGGTGTGCCGGAATTGGTGCAGTGGTGCCATGCGAACTTTTTCACTGGGGCCTTCGGTGGGGCTCCTTATGGGACCCCGAAACGTGCGATGGTTGTGCCGAAATGGGCGTGATGGCGCCATGCGAACCCTCCCACTGGGGCCTTCGGTGGAGCTCCGTAATGGGCCCCCAAACGCGTGAGGGGTATGCCGCAGTGGGCGCGGGGGCGCCATGCGAACCCTTCCACTGGAACCTTCGGTGGAGCTCCCACTGGGGCCACGTGTGAGGGGTGTGTCGACATGCGCGCGCGGAGGACAGAGAGGGGAGGAAGAGAGGAGGACGCGGCGCGCTGTCTAGTTGGGAGAACTCATGGCAGGTTCTGCGATCGGGGATCGAGGTCTTCTCATGCTTTCGGCCCCTTCCTGGCTGCGGGAGGCCTCCTGAAGCCACGGGAGCAGCGTCAGCAGGAGGGAGGGGGGTGAGGGGGGAGGAAACCGTCGTTCGGCAAGTCTGCTTGTTTGTTGTTCTGCATTGCCCCCCCCCCCCCCCTCCCCCGTCCAACGCGCAGGGGCGCGGAGCAACGGGTGGATGCATTCTGGGCTCGATGCGTCGGGTGCTCCTGGTCGTTGCTTCTGGGGCGAGGTAGCGGCAGAGCAGGAAGCCCGACACACGCTCAGCAGTCGCTGCACACAGCGCGGTGGCGGGTCTGACTACGATCGACTTTGGAGGGCCGGGAGCAGAGGCAGGCGCGGTCTTAACAAGTGCAAGACGACGGTGTCATGCGTGCGTGAGACCAGGGAAGCTTGAGCAAGATGAGGGGGATGATGACGATGATGATGCTGCTGATGATGATGGTGATGATGATGCTGATGATGATGATGACCATGCTGCTGATGATGATGATGCTAATGATTATGATGCTGATGACGATGGTGATGATGGTAATGTTAATGTTGTTGATGATGATGATGATGATGATGATGATGATGATGGTGCTGGTGATGTTGATGCTGGTGATGCTGCTGATGTTGATGACGATGCTGATGATGCCGATGACGATTATGCTGTTGCTGATGATGATGAGGTTCCCGACAATGATGATGCTGTTGCTGATGATGATAATGATGATGGTGATGATGTTTGCGATGCTAATGTCGACGATGAGGATGTTGATGATGCTGACGATTATGCTGCTGACGATGATGATGATGATGTTGATGGTGATGCTGTGCTGATGATGATGCTGCTGATGGTAATGCTGAGGATGAATGATGATGCTGCTGATGATGATGATGAAGATGATGATGATGATGCTGATGATTATGATGATGATGATGCTGATGATGATGATGATGATAATGATGATGATGGATGGGTATGGCGATGATCCTGGAGAAGACGAATCTGAGGATGGAGATGCTGCTGATGATGATGACACTGTGGATGACGATGTGGTTGATGCTGACGACGATGACGACGGTGATGATGATGATGATGATGATGATGATGATGACGATGACGGTGACGACGACGCTGCCGACGACGATGACGATGATGCTGCTGATGCTGCTGCTGCTGATGATGATGATGGTGATGATGATGATGATGGTAATGCTTTCTGATCATGGTGCGGATGCTGCTGATACTGATGCTGATGATGAAGATGATGCTGATGATGACGATGATGTTGATGATGATGATGTTGCTGATGATGATGCTGATGATGCTGATGCTGCTGATGATGACGCTGATGATGCTGCTGCTGCTGATGAAGGTATACTCTCTGTTCACGGTGCTGATGCTGCTGATAATGATGCTGATGATGACGAAGATGCTGATTATGACAGGAATGATGTTGATACTGATGATGCTGATGATGATGACGACGATGATGATGCTGATGATGATAATGACGCTGATGCTGACGATGACGATGACGTTGTCGATGATGACGAGGGTGGTAAAGCTGCGGTTGATGATGATACGGATGATGTCGCTGTTGATTCTGATGTTGTTGATGATGATGATGATGTTGACGATGCTGATGGTGATGCTGATAATGCTGATGACGATGATCATGACGACTACGATGACGACACTGACGAAGACGACAACGACACCGACGACGATGATGATGATGATGATGATGATGATGATGATGATGATGATGATGCTGATGATGATGATGATGATGATGATGATGATGTTGACGATGCTGATGGTGATGCTGATAATGCTGATGATGACGACTAAGATGACGACAATAACGAAGACGACAATGACACCGACGATGATGATGATGATGATGATGATGATGATGACGATGATGATGATGATGATGATGATGATGATGATTATGATGATGATGATGATGATGATGATGATGATGATGATGATGATGATGATGATGATGATGATGACGGCGACGACGACGACGATGATGATGATGCTGATGGTGATGTTGATGATGATGAGGATGATGATGATGGTGATGGTGGTGGTGATTATGATGATCACGACGAGTGGCTGTGATAATGATGCTGCTCTTGCTGATGATGACGATGCTGATGCTGATGCTGATGGTGATGCTGACGATGATGATGCTGATGGTGCTGATGGGGGTGATGATGATGATGATGATGATGATGATGATGATGATGATGATGATGATGATGATGATGATGATGATGATGATTGATGATGATGATGATGATGATGATGATGATGATGATGATGATGATGATGATGATGACGTTGATGATGACGATGATTATAATGATGGTGAGCCAGGGGAAGGCAGGGGCTTGGCATCGCTCGGACGTGTGTATTCCTCGGCGAGGGCCATCGAGGAACATCTTGGATCCTCTTGCGAAAATATACACGCACGGAATCGAGAAACATGGGCGCAGTGCTTGGCGTTGCCTGGCATTGCTTGGCATTGCTTGGCATTGCTTGGTATTGCTTGGTATTGCTTGGCATTGCTTGGCATTGCTTGGCATTGCTTGGCATTGCTTGGCATTGCTTGGCATTGCTTGGCATTGCTTGGCATGAGCATTGCTCTGCACGGGCACCGTGAGAATACGAGGCACTGGGGGCGGGGGACACGGGGAATCCGGGGAACCCGAGGAACCCAGGGGACCTGGGGAACCCGGGGAACCCGAAGAACCCGAGGAACCCGAGGAATCCGAGGAACCCGAGGAATCCGAGGAACCCGAGGAACCCGAGGAACCCGAGGAACCCGGGGAACCAGAGAAACCCCGGGAACCTGCGAGGAACGGGCAACGTAGCCCCCCGAGGCACCAACCTTTGACCAAGCAAGGACCCCGTAGGCAATCTTCACTTGGGAAGCTGCACGGGGAGTGGACGTCGGAGCGATGGCGAGGGGGAGGCCCGAAGAGGGGTGTACAGGTAGGTGTTCTAGCGAGAGTCTCTGACTCCGTCACTGGCGTACTTCGCAGTCCTCCTCGCCTGCGGTCTCCGTGCGGCTCCGTCTCAGGCACTGGCTCGTGCCAGTGCCGGGCGTTCGCGGCTGTCCGCCCAGTGCCGTGCCGAAGAGTTGCCCGTCGGTCGTTGAAAGTGGGTCTTTCTGGATGCCCCGATCCCCATCTGCATCACGCGCCTTCCTACTTCAAGAGTCGATGCGTGTGGTTGTTGTTCGGTATTCTTGGGGCGGGCCCGAGCCCAATCTACTTTATCCGTAAGGGCTTCGCCCCTTGCCGCCGGCCCCCTCTCTCGGAGAATTGGCTATGCAAGAGCTAAATCATGAGGCCTCGGCGCCGCCGTGAAGCAGCATCGGCAAGAGAGATTGAGATTCTGATGTTATTGTTGAACTCAGCGTTACATTTTGCACCTGCCTCCATATGCTGTGCACAGGTTTCCCACATACTTTCGGACATGTGGCTTCGGGGACGCCAATACAGCGTAATTTGAAAGTAATTTGCAAGGGTTGATGGCTTCGGAGACGCGAACATAAAGTAATTTACGAGGGTTCATGGCTTCGGATACGCGAATCGTGTGTAATTTACAAGGGTTTATGGCTTCGGGGTCGCACATTTAGCGTCATTTGCACAGGTTTATGGTTTCGGATACGCGGAAATTGCATACCTTACAAGGGTTTATGGTTTCGGACACGCGATTATTGTGACTTTACTCGGTTTATGGCTTCGGGGTCGCAAATATTGTATCATTTACAAATATGGCGGAGACGTGAATTTTGCATAATTTACGGGGGTTTATGGCTTCGGGGACGCGAATATTGAGTGATTTGCAAGCGTTTGTGGCCTCGGGGACGCAAGTATTGCATACTTCGCAAGGGTTTGTGGCCTCGGGGACACGAATATGGTGTATTTTGCAAGGGTTTATGGTTTCGGGGACGCGAATGCCGCGTAATTCGCGAGGGTTTATGGCCTCGGGGACGCGAATATTGTATAGTTTACGAGGGTTTATGGTTACGGGGACACGAATTTAATATATTTTCAAATGTCTCATTCCCCCCCAGGAATTCTGAGACCCTGGGAGGAGACGCTAACCAGGCTGATTTTCGGCTCCCCCCCCTCGCGCGGTTTACAACAAGGAGCGGTAAGCAACAAGAAGCATAATTTTAACAGTGGAAACTGGAAACAGGAATTGGTGCAGGGAACTTCAAACCCTCGTCCTACAGCCTGGTGGCCCCACAAGGGGGCCGGCGGATCCGCCTTCCTACTTCATTTTTCTACCTACTTCTTTCGACTGACGTTTACCCTACGCAGATTGCCAGGAATGATAAGGAGCTCGACGGGCCCCTTTCCACTGCGTACCAGGTCTTGCCTGTCATGTGGGTCTCATGTGAGCTGCATCGGCTGCTGGTGCGTGACGTGTCGCATTAATGTCAGAGAGCGATGCAGAGAGCGATGACAGATGCCAGACTGCGTGTGGGGCTCGCCTTCTGCCTGTCTCGATGGGAGCACGATGTAGGAGGATAACTATTTACCAACTCGTCGGGGAATGCGGTCATCGTCGTGCGCATCATGATTCATTGCTCCACGCTCAGGTGTGTTGGATTGCACTTCTGTTCAAGTCTGCTTTAAAAGGTTCTGCGTGTACACACTTGGGCATAAGTGTGCATTGGCGTGTAAAGACGCTTATCAGCAGAATTAGAGTTAGCAGGTTTGCCAGAAGGGAAGGCACTCTCACGTATCAAGCGGACATCAAGCGTATTGTGGCATCCGTCGGAGACATGTACGAGGAGGTCGTGCGGCCGATCAAAGGGTGGTTGGTTCTGTGATGCAGAGAAGTTCGATGGAGCTGATCAAGGAAGTGAGGGTGCGAGGGCTCGGATGTAACGGCGAGGACAAGGCCACGGCACGTTGTACGACGGAAGCCAGCGAGGGAAGGGCCATGCAAGGGCAGGGCGGGTGAGGAGATGTGTCAGAGAGCCTGAGGAAGAAAGAGAGAGAGAGAGAGAGAGAGAAAGAGAGAGAGAGAGAGAGAGACACCCAGAGAGAATCAGAGACGATACAGATACTGATATCTTTATACATATATGTTCAGAGGGAGGGAGAGAGAGAGAGAGAGAGAGAACGAGAGAGAGAGAGAGAGAGATAGAGAGCTCCCGGAAGAGTCACGCAGTGAATGTCCTAGGAGCGCCCAGGAGCGCCCCGAACCCGGAGCCGCGGGCTCCTGCAGGAGCGCTCCGCGCCCTCTTCTTGCGGGAGGGCCGGCGAGAGCGCACCTCCCCCTTCGTGCCCCGGGGCGCGCCGCCGGGCAGGCCGGGCGGAGCGCCCGCGCGTGGGCGCTCGGCGCGGGGCGGCGGAGGAGGGAGGTCTTCCGGGCCGGACGAAAGGGGGGGATTGGGAACCCTGACCTTCCACCTTCCAGGAGGGCTAAAAAATAACACCCCACTTAAAAACCTATCCCAGAGCTATTCTACGTCTTGGTTTTAGGCTGTTTCGTTTTTTTTTTGTTTCTCCCCTTTTTTCCTCTCTCTCTGTATATACATATATAAACGGAAAACTGTTTTTTTTTGGTTTCCAGTACTTAAAAATGGCTCTCTGTAAGGTCAGGGAAAGGGGGGGTTACGGAATTTGCTGCATGCAGCTGGTTTCGGCCTCACCGAGGGGCCCCTTCTTCGATATACATAGCCGCCTCCGGCGCCGGGAGGCGCCGGGGAAATCGGCTACGTGAGCTGATTCTCCTCCCCCCCCTTTGCTATCCCTGACGAACGAACAACGCACACCCATACCCATAGGGGGGTTCGTGGGGAGGAGGACTAGCTATGGGTATGGGTGCGGGTTGTCGGACCCTGGGGAACGCGCCCGTTCGAGCGGGGCCCCCCATCCGACAACACGCACCCATAGCCCTCTCCGACCCCCTTATGGGTATGGGTGTGTGTTGTTGGTTCGTCAATCCCCCCCTTTCGCCTGGCCCGAGTCTTCCGGCGTGGGCGCGCGAGTGCGGCGCCTGGCGCGGGGCGCCGGAGGGGCCCCCGCCGGAGGGGCCCTCGGCGACGGCGACCTCGAGGCGGGGCGCCAGGCGCGGTGCCCGCGCGCCGCGGGGCCCGCGCGCCTGGCGCGCCCGGGCTCGAGGCCGGCGCTGCGGGCGTGCCTCGCGGGCTGGGCGGCGCTGGCATCGGCCACGTGTGCGTGCGAAAGCACGAGGAGGAGGGGGAGGGAGAGGAGGAGGAGGAGGAGGAGGCAAAGGAGGAGGAGGAAAGGGGGAGGAGAAGGAAAGGAGGAGGAAAGGAGGAAAGGAGGAGGAGGAGGAGGAGGAGGAGGAGGAGGAGGAGGAGGAGGAGGAGGAAGGAGGAGGAGGAGGAGGAGGAGGAGGAGGAGGAGGAGGAGGAGGAGGAGGAGGAGCAGGAGCAGGAGGACGAGGACAAGTGCAATCCCAAGGGTCATCAACGATGTTGGCATACACCCTTGCTCCAAGCTCCCTCTTCATAGGCCCCTACAACGATTCATTTCCTCTGAGGGAACTGCCTCGTTGGAAGACAACTGTTTGGAGACCCCGAAGCATGCCAAAACATGTTCTCGGGATTCTAAGAACGGATCAACCTGACTTTTGGGTCTTGACAAGCCTGAATCGTGCCAGAACGCCATTCCTGGGACTTTTGAACACCGCGAATCAACGTAACTTTGGCACCCTCATGAACCATAATCCCATTTCTGATACGTTGTTCATGAGAAACCGTGAGGCTCTGGCAAATTTTAAAGACGAATGTGCGCGTCGCTAAATCGAAAATCACATTCTGAAAATCACCCGCCCTCAATCCGTAAAACTCTTGCGAATTTTGAAAACGAATGTGCGCGGCGCTAAGGTGAGAGCCACATTTTGAAAACGACTCGCCCTCGATCCGTGAATTTTTTCCACATTTTGAAGACGATCCGTGACATTTTTCCACATTTTCGAGACGAGTGTGTGTGGTGCTAAGGCGAAAGCCACATTTCGAAAGTCACTCGCCTTCAATCTGTGAAGCTCCTGCACCATTTTAGGACGAATGTGCGCGGCGCCAGGGCGAGAGTCACATTTTGGAAACGACCCGCCCTCCATCTGTGAAGCTTCAGGGTCATAAAAGGTGAGGAAGTCTTCAGGGTCATCAAAGGTGAGGAAGTCTTAGGCGAAACGCCCGGCCCACCCTAAAAAGTGGCCTCGGGGTGCGCCAGGGAGAAATTATTCATAAGGAAAAAAGAATGGAGGAGGACGAGGAGGAGGAGGAGGAGGAGGAGGAGGAGGAGGAGGAGGAGGAGGAGGAGGAGGAGGAGGAGGAGGAGGAGGAGGAGGAGGAGGAGGAGGAGTGCACGATTATCGGGCGCCTCTCTCTCTCTCCTCCCTCCTTCGTCCTTCTCCTTCCGTCCTCCTCCTCGCCCTCGTCGCACTGCCCCTCCTGCGCTTCGCAGGCCCTTCTTTCTTTGGGGACGCCTCGCGCCGGTCGCGCGCCGCGACGCGCGCTGCGACGGAAGAAGGCGCGCGGTGAACAAGCATCAGTGGCCGACCTCTCCCGATAAATGTGGGGGAAGTGGGGGGGGGGGCGGACGGACGGGGAGGGCGCGGGGGGGTGGGGCATCGCAGGCGCAGGGCGCTCGGGGTCTGTGGTCGGCAGCCGGCCCCGCCCGAGGCAGCGGGGGCGGAGCCGGCCGTCCGGGCCCGTGCGGGGCGGGGCGGACCTGCGACCCGTGGAGGTCGAGAGCGCGCCGATCCCCGGCTCCATCGACACCCCGGTGCAGACAGCGATGCTGATCGTGCTGAGGCTCAAGAAGCTGTGAGCCCTCCTGGCGGCAAAGGGCGCGCGCCCGCAGGTATAGTGTTCGTGGGTGGAGCGGCCCGCGGGGGCCGCCCTCGCCCTCACCCTTTCGTGCGCCAGCCCTCCGCAAAGGGCATTGCGAAGAGGGATGGGCGAGGGGGTGACGATGGATAAGGGAGGACGAGAGAGGAAGCATGGGCATGAGGAGGATTTTGAGGAGGGCGGGCGGAGGAGGAGGAGGGGGTGGAGGAGGAAGAGGAGGAGGAGGAGGAGGAGGAGGAGGAGAGGAGGAGGAGGAGGAGGAAGAGGAGGAGGAGGAGGAGGAGGAGGAGGAGGAGGAGGAGGAGCAACGAAGAGGAGATGGAGGAGAAGGAAAACGAGGAGGAGGAGGCAGAGGCGGATGATGAGGAGGAGGAGGACCAGTTTAAACCCAGGAGTCATCAACGATGTTGGCATAAGCCCTCCCTCCAAGCTTCCTCTGGTTACATTTCCACTGAGGGAACGGACTCGTTAGAAGATCACCGTGAGAAGACCCTGAAGCATGCCAAAACATGATTCTCGTGATCCCAACGTCACGGATCAACCAGACAGTGATTTTTTGACGATCCTGAATCGTGCTAGAATGCCGTTCTTGTGACTTCAACACCGCGAGTCAGCGTAACTGTCGCGCCCTCATAATCTAGAATTTCTCCAAGACATCATCTCTGGTACGTTGACCATGTGAATTCGTGAAACCCTTGCAACTTTTAAAATTAATGTACGCGGCGCTAAGGCGAGAGCCACATTCTGAAAACCACCCGCCCTCAATCCGTGAAACTCTTGCGAATTTTGAAAACGAATGTGCGCGTCGCTAAGGCGCGAGCCACATTTTGAAAACGGCCTGCCGTCAATCCATGAAACTCTTGCCAATTGTTAAGCGAATGTGCGCGGCGCTAAGGCGAGAGCCACACTTTGAAAACGGCCCGTCCTCAGTCTGTGAGGTCCGTGCAATTTTGAAAACGAAAGTGCGCGGCGCTAAGGCGAGAGCCACATTCTGAAAACGGCCCGCCCTCAATCCGTGAAGCTATTGCGATTTTTGAAAAAGAATGTGCGCGGCGCTGGGGCGAGAGCCACATTTTGAAAACGGCCTGCCCTCAATCCGTGAAGCCCCTGCGAATTGTTGAGCGAATGTGCGCGGCGCTAAGGCGAGAGTCATACTTTGAAAACCCCCCGCCCTCTGTTTGGGAAACATTTTCCATTTTTTAAGTTTCAGGGTCATCGATTGTGAGGAAATTTCTGGTGAACCGCCCAGTCTGCCCTAAAAACTGGCCTCGGGTTGCGACTCGGAGAAATTATGTTTCAGTGAAAGGAATGGAGGAGGAGAAGGAGTAGGAGGAGGGGAAGGCGGAGGAGGAGGAGTAATAAGCATGATGATGATGATGATGATGATGATGATGATGATGATGATGATGCTGATGATGATGATGATGATGATGATGATGATGATGATGATGATGCTGCTAATGATGATGATGCTGATGATGATGGTGATGATGATGATGATGCGATGATGACGATGATGAGGATGCTGATGATGAGGATGCTGATGATGATGATGATGATGCGGATGCTGCTGCTGATGATGATACTGCTGCTGATGATAATGCTGATGCTGGTGCTGCTGCGGATGATGATGCTGATGATGATGCTGCTGCTGCTGATGATGATGATGATGATGTGATGCTGATGCTGAGGATGATGCTGATGATGATGCTGATGATGCTGCTGATTATGACGGTGATGCTGATGATGACGATGATTGTGATGATGCTGATAATGAAGAAGAATAATAGCGGGTGACATATGATGACGATGATGATGATGATGATGATGATGATGCTGCTGATGCTCACGATGCTGATGCTGATGCTGCTGATGATGATGCTGATGATGCTGATGATGCTGATGATGCTGGTTCTGATGCTGCTGCTGATGCTGCTGCTGATGATGATGATGCTGATGCTGATGCTGCTGCTGATGCTGCTGCTGCTGATGATGATGCTGATTCTGATGATGATGATGATGATGATGATGAGGATGATGATGATGATGATGATGACGATGATGATGATGATGATGATGATGACGACGATGATGATGATGATGATGATGCTGATGATGATGATGCTGATGATGGTGGTGGTGGTGGGTGTGGTGGTGACGATGATGATGATGATGATGCTGATGCTGATGATGTGATGATGATGATGATGATGATGATGATGATGATGATGATGATGATGATGATGATGATGATGATGATGATGATGATGATGATGATGATGATGATGATGATGATGATGATGATGATGATGATGATGATGATGATGATGATGATGATGATGATGATGAGCAGGAGGAGGAGGAGGAGGAGGAGGAGGAGGAGGAGGAGGAGCAGGGGGAGGAGGAGGAGAGGCGGAGGCGGAGGCGGTGGCGGAGGAGGAGGTGGAGGCGGAGGCGGAGGCGGAGGCGGGCGGAGGCGGAGGAGGAGGAGGAGGAGGAGGAGGAGGAGGAGGAGGAGGAGGAGGAGGAGGAGGAGGAGGAGGAGGAGGAGGAGGAGGACCAGCGTCTCCCTTTTCGCTCCTGCTTCTCGCTCATCCCTCCTTGCGCCTCCCTCGTCCCCTCCTCCCGCCCTTCGCCTCCCGCTTCCCGCCTCCCTCCCGCCTCTCTTCCTCTAGGCCTCTAGGCCTTTCAAATGGGGTCCGAGTAGATGGGGTCGTAGGATCGCGCCGCGTCGCCGATGCATCGCCGATGTTGCGCTCGATGCGGAGCCCGATTTCCTCCGCGACGACGGCGCCGGTGCATCGCCGACGTTGCCGGTGCATCGCTGATGCAGCTCCGATGCATCGCTGATGTGGCGCGTTCCTCCGACCCCATCTAGTGCGACCCCATCTGGGAGGCATCTACTCTCTCCTGCCTCCTGCTCGTGCTCAGCTGCCGTCCCGGCCCGAGGCTTTGGGTGCAGGTTCCAGGAACCTGCGAGCCACTCGGGACTGCCGCCAGACGCGCCGACCCGCCATACCAGCGTCTGGACGGCCGTGCCCCAAGGGGGGACGTTCGCCACCACGCGCCGCAGATTCAAGCTTGCGTGGCATCGCCGATTGAGAGCGCAGATGGGGATCGCCAGAGTGTTCCTCCGCGTCGCAGCAGCCGCATAATTTCTCGACAGACATCATAGCTCGATGGCGCAGTCCAGTCATCAAGCCAATCGCTCCCAGGCCCAATTGTGGACATGCAGCACGTGCCAGCGGACGATCATCTATTCCAGCAAGAAATGCATATTCTTCTTTCCGGAGCCCGACAACAGCATAAACATTGTTCCGGACGAAGTAGAATCAACACCGCCGTGGATTTACCAGTCTCGCACGAGGAACCCCCAGTGGTCAGCCAGCTGGACGCATCAGGTGTCATGGTGGCAAAAGGATGATACGGGAGGACCACGCCTTAGACGGGCCAGGTCAGCTCACGCACCCGACAGGAGGGCCAGAGAAGACCTCACCGTTGCCGCGTCCGGCACAGCCAGAGGACGCCATGAAACATCGACAACTGTTGCAAATCATTGCTCACAGAGATCAGTTGAATATCAGTCTCGATGGACAGGAGAAGCAAATCAGGAGCGCCTGCCAGATTGACCAATGCTCAGTCCGCATCGCAGAGCTCGACCAGGACTACGCGGTCACCCTCTGTATGATCATGTACGCCAGGGACCCGAAGGCTCGCACAGAGCAGCAGAAAGCATACGTTGACAGGATTAGGTAGCGATTGGGTGACGCCCAGGGAGTTGAACATCAAATGCTTGATGAGCACAAGAAGGCAGCCGCCCTCACGCAGGCGCTCTTCGAAGTCGCGCAGAAAGCAGAGTATTCGTTATCGCACTTCGAGCGCCGCGCGGAGGATGACGACTACGAGGACGTACGCATGTGGGACGACAAGCCAGCGCAAGCACAAGAGGTACCAACAGCCCCAGAGGCAGCACGAGCGTCAGCCAAGAAGGTGCCAGCGAGTGCTGACCAGACTGCCACCGCGGCAGCCTGCGTCGCGGCCATGCACGCGACCAACATCGACCTGGCAGCCCAGGGCAGCGGCCTCGCCGCCCAGATGGCGACCATTCAGCCCTCGCGGCGGTCCGCCTCGCTGGCGCCGCCATCAGGGCAGGCCGCCCCGCAGGCCATGGGCCCGGCGTCTGCGCCACCGCCAGCGAGCCTGGGGGCCCGCGCAGGCGCGGCGCAGGCAGCCCCACTTGCCACAGGGCCGGTGCCAGCAGCCCCATCCAGCAGCGCGCGGAGATGCAGTACCAAGAGACCAAGCTGAGGTGCCAGCAGCAGAGGGTGCGTTGTCAGCGCCCAGGCCAGGAAAAGCGGCGTCGGCATCCGCCGAGCCAGCCGTCCCCAGGGCCCCGAGGAAGGCCGCGCTGAGGGTCACAGCGGGCAAGTCAACCAGCAAGCGCATCCCAGGCAGCGTCCTCGAGGTCACCTTTTGACAAGGGCAGCGCCCGCAGGGCCGCCGCCGAGGACGTCGGGGCTGGCTCCGACGAGGGCGGCGCCGACGAGGGCATGGGCGAACAACCCAGTCCAAGGGCGGCCCGTCAAGGCCAAGCGGATGAATCTTGACAGACACCGTTGCGTTCTGGTGGGGAAGTACCCGACGTCTCCCCAGGAATTCAGGGCGACCCGTGCCCCGCCCCTCCATCGGAACCAGGGCCTAATTTTCGAGGGGTCGTTTCCAGCCCCATCCCCGACTTGGCGGATGCCACGGACTTGCTCCAAAAAGGTGGGAATGGGAGTTGCTTGCCGATGCGGTCACCTGCGCTAGCTTTTGACGCTCAGCCACTATCGCAGGTCTTTCCAAGCTGGGCCCCGACCCAGGCATCCCACCCATGCGCCTGGACATCTACGCTGATGGCGCGGCTGGGGGGTACAAGGATTGGGGGGGGGGGGGGGGGGTATCTGGCCCCCGCGTGGCCCCTCGTGGTTAATGCAGCAG